CTCCTTTTTTCTCTGTTTTTCGTGTTTTTTCCGGTGGTGCGATTTTAGGTGTTGGGTTGATCGGATTGGCGAGCGTTCATTCAGATGGGAAGTGGATGGTTCGAGCATAATTTTGTGGGACCCAAGCATGCGAGGATCGAATTCCCAGCTCGGGCAGTACCCGAGCGACGTAGCCGAGCAAGCAAACTGTAGAAAAAAGGGCAAAAATTTTGGACAACGGGACCTTAGCGCCGCTAAGGCCCCTGTATTAGCGGCGCTTTTGTATTATGCGCGTACTGAGACGGACAGCTAACATGGCTTAGCGGCGCTAACCCCTTAGCGCCGCTAAGGCCCATTTTGTATATGCTGCGTTTTTCTCGTGATTTCAAAATGGAAATACTTATGATCGAGTTAGGGCAGATTTGAACTCATTCTGGACGGGTTTTTCTTGAGTTTTTCATCTCTAGAACTTTTCTTTTTCTTGCTTTTGATCTTGGATTGTATTTTGGAGCATAAAAACTCCTTTTCTAGCTTTGGATCTTGGATTGCTCGTTGTTCTTTCTCGACATTGGTTTTTGTTATCAATCGTAAGCATCTTTTCTCATTTAATTATGATGTTTTGTGCTTGGATTGCTATGAATTCTTGTGTTAATATTGCAATGAGTGGCTAAATTCATTAGCTAGGGTTAGGGGATCATCGTTCCTGTTCGATTTCATTTATGTGTTTGATTAATTTGCTCAATCTTTTCGAGTTGTGCTTAACCTAGGGTTTAGATGTTTGATCACCATCTCAATCTAATTAATCGGTTTTGAAATCGAAAGGGGAGAAATCGTTCGACCTAGGCTCGTTAAGAATAGACTTGTTCGGTGACGTATTGTCTATGTGCTATTCGATTCATGATTGATTTGTTTACGTTTATTCTCTTGTTTTGTGAGATATTGAGAATGAACCTCTAGACGAGTAGTTTTTGAGTCATCTAGTCGAGTAATTGATTGTTCGTAAATTGTTTTGAGAACCGGTGACGATATCCCCGATACCCTAGCCCTTTTATCATTATTCGAATTTAAACTTTAAATTGTAAATTTGAAATTGCTAGTCTTGTTCTTGTTATTCGTAGTTTATAAAATCAAACCAAACCAATCAAATTAGAGTGTTTAGGACTTGTTTCTACTTTTTTGTGTGATTAAATATTTGTACAAATAATCCGACTAACCTTCCTTGTGATACGACCCGGTGTTCGAATCTCTTGATTCTATTCCGGTAAAAATATTTACAACAAGAAGTTTCACAAAAGCCAAGAGAAATACAGAAAAAAGTTAATCAATTGTCTAAATTCAATGGCCTACTCTAGTCGTGTCTCTCGATAAGGTTGTTCGGACACGGATTTAAGAAAACGATTGACTAACACACGAAAAGAAAATAAAAAAGTCCTAAACACTCTACTCGCAATTTGGTGTTTGAATTAAACTAAATGCCGCAACTTTACTCTAGAATTAAAGCAAGATTCGAAATTTAGTGCACGCAAGTCCTCAATTGGCAAGAAAAAGAAAAATAGAGAGAAAAAGAAACAAGGTACCCTAAGACCCGAGAAGAAAAGAATACACTCATAGGTTCGGAGGCATGTAACCAACAACAAGTCACTCGCGAATCAACCAATCGAGCTCTCAATCAATTCTCGCTCACGCAATAAAAAATGAGTCACTCGCGAATCAACTAAACGAGCACTCAATTAATTCTCCCTCACGCAATCAACAACAAAATCACATAATCATAAGCCTACGAGGATGATGCATTAATCGACTCATGAAAGCTCCTATCTTTACCCTAGAAAAATCTAATATGTAAAGAAAAGAAAAACTTACGAGATCTTGGACCTTAAACTAAGTCTCCGATTAGACCTTAAACAAAGTCTCCAAGTCTCTAGTGCATTCAAGAGAAAAAATAAGCTGTAAAATTACAATCTTGATGTAAAAATATTACAATAAAAATAGGGTCTTTGAACTTTTAGAGAGAGAAAGAGAGAAAAACTAAGAAGATATTTTTGCAAATGAGGAATTCGTACAAAAATACAAAACAAGTCTATTTATAGTTACACCAAGAAAACACACTAAAACACACACATTTAATGATCAAAACACACGGAGTTGCAAAATGGGGCACTGGTCGCGAGTGTGCACGGGTCATCACTAGGCAGACTTGCGCGGTCGCGAGTCAGGATCCGAGTCGCGAGCGCTGAGGCTGATGCACAAGGGAAAACTCGCGACACCACGGAAGGGGCCTCGGGTCGCGAAATGATTGGCGCGCTGGGGAGCACTCGCGACCTCGTGGGAAGTCTATCGGGTAGAGAACTACATGGTGACACTGGAAAGCACTCGCGACCTCGGCGGCTACGTCTAGGGTCGCGAGGGTAGGGCTCCTCGGGTCTCTCGGGCGCGGCGTGCTGAGCGGACGCGGGCAGGTTTCTTTGGCACGACATGAGAATGTGCCATGGGAGGACAACTCGACGGGCTGTCTAATTAGCCGCAACACACTCACAGACTCCCAACAGGAGAATACAATTCCCAAAGAGAAAATACAACTCCCAAAGGAAGAATAAAAACACACTACAAACCCAAAAAACTAAAAAAAAACAAAAATAAATACTACCTCCTTTTTTAAATAGATGTCGTTTTGACTTTTTTGATTCATCCATTTTGCTATGTATCTAGACATTAATATGTCTAGATACATAGCAAAATGGATGAATCAAAAAAGTCAAAACGACATTTATTTAAAAAAGGAGGGAGTACTAGAATAAACCCTCCCTACCGGCTAACCGAAAATCCCAAACCCCAAGGCAATGACAACGAGCACGAAGCAAGAAACTCCAGACCGAAGCAAAAAATGTGAGTTTAAGATGGACAATAAAAATTTTATACGGTATAAATTATCTTTTTCTGAGTATTATTGTGCATAATGCATCAATAATATAATAATAATATATATATATATATATATATATATATACAATTTTGAGTTTTTCATCTAATAATTCACGTATAACTTGATGTTTAAATAACAAAATACATGTATAATTTGGATTATCATAACATCTTAATGATATGTGATATTGTACCAGGTCGAGTACGACCTAAGGAGTGGTTTGACTGGTTCGGGAGGACTGGAAGATCGGTTGAACATTATGGAACGGAGGTCGAAGAATCACCAGGTCGATGGTGACCTCACAAATAAAGAAGCTCAACAACGGGTCGAGCCAAGGCTATCAGCTAACCTAATAGAAATTCGACCTGGAGGTGGGTCGATAGAGTATTCTAAGAGATAAGGTTTACACATTGAAGGTCAAAGCAAGATGACTCAAGGGAAGTTGAGTTGGTGCACAATTAGACCATGTAATGAGATAGAATAATGTGACCACACCTCGTAAGAGATAAGAAGGAATATTATTAGGATAACAACCACACGTGGATAGGACCACATGGCTGTTGTGTATGTTTTTGTTGTTATTTTGTGTGCTTTTATGTGTTTTATTTGTGTTCGTTTTATTTTATTTTAAGTATTTTATGGTTCATTTAGTCGTTCTTGCTCGTTTAGTGTCGTTTTAGTGTTCTTTTTTTATCTCTTTTATCGTTATTTTGCAGGAATTTGCGTCTCGAAAAACCACCGAAAATTCATCAGAAAATCACCAGAAAAGTCCCCGGCCGACCGCCTTGGCTAGTGCGCGGTGGACCCGTACGCGCCCAAGAGACGTCTGGCACCGTGCGACCTAGCACATTCTCATGTCGTGCCAAAGAAACCTGCCCGCGTCCGCTCAGCACTCCGCGCCCGAGAGACCCGAGGAGCCCTACCCTCGCGACCCTAGACGTAGCCGCCGAGGTCGCGAGTGCTTTCCAGTGTCACCATGTAGTTCGCTACCCGATAGACT